TCCTCTCCTCTCCTCTCCTCTCCTCTCCTCTCCTCTCCTCTTCTCTTCTCCTCTTCTCTTCCCTCCTCTCCTCTTCTCTCTCTCTCTCTGTGTGTGTGTGTGTGTGTGTTATATGTATGTATACATGTGTGCACATATGCATGCAGACACAGCTGAATGTGATTGCCAGGGATCAATTTTGAGTGTCTTCCTCAATCACTTTATTTCTTACCCTGTTAACAGAGTCTTTCACTGTACTCTGAACTCACAGGTTCAACTAAGCTGGCTGGCCAATGAGATCCAGGGACATACCTGTCCTCATCTCTCCAGCACTGTGATTACAGATGCATACTCCTGCAGCTGACTTTTTATGTGAGTACTGAGTATCTGAATTCATGTTGCCATGATTACAATATAAGCATTTCCTGACTGAGACATTTCTCTAGCCACAGAGGATGTCTTTTTATGCCCACAATGATGAAAGAAGTTCCTGAGAGTAAATTATTTCATTCTAAATGTCCCAAATGAGAACAAATACATTGATACATGGAGTTTTATACTGTGTTTCAAGTAGTAACAGGCAAGAGGTAAGTTTTAGGATGCACAGAGTACATGAAGAAAAATTATATTTCCCAACATGACATAGATAACACACCAAATCAAAAGATAATATAAATCTATGATGCTTGGTTTTTATTTTTGCCTATTTTTTTAACAGGAAGATCTTTTGTGAAGTCTTCCCCAAAGACATGCTGAATTTTAGAAACAAATAGACTTTAGTAAGCATTTACTGTATGCCAAATTCCCTATTATCAGTTACAGTGTTTCCCAAACTTGTAATCAAATGGAGACACATATGAAAATATAACCTCTACCTGCAAGGAATGGTTGGACCAAGATTTCACACAGAGTGTTACAAGTGAGAATAAGCAGAGATTGGTTCTGAAATTAATTTTATAGAAACCCTTTTAATGCAAGTGTTTTTAACTAGCTTGGTATACAAAGTGAAGTAAAGCTTAACCAAAGCTTATATTACATGAAGCCATCATAGAATGAAGACTAGCACGAAAATAAAGTTGGAATTACAATTATGAGAAATAACAAAGAATGGGGCTGGTGAAATGTCTCAGTATTTAAGAGCAATTACTACTCTAACAGATAACCCAGATTTCATTATCAGAACCCAGATTAGACAACACAGAACTGCCTGTAGTTCCAGCTCTAGAGAGTCTAATGCCTTCTCTGTCTTCTTCAGGCTCCTGCACTCACAGGACACACCTCTACACAGACATATACAAATTAAAAATATAACAAATGCATTTGAAAAAGACATAGTGAGTTATTTTGGTGTCAACTTCAGTTCATGAAGGAGTAGATGTGAGTGATGCTCAGAGGTATAAGAGTGACAAGTCGGGCTTGTCCTTGTGCTAATTTAAAAAGCATACATAGTTTGTGGGCAGCTAGGAATTACTGACACACATTTAAACATGTTTTTCAGGATGTAGATTAATATAACTAATTTGAAAATCTGAAATGTCTTGAACCTATTTGCAAAACCTTATGCAGTATATGACACATTTACATACTAGACAGAACTATGGTGAAGCAGGTAAACCTTTTCAGATTTCAGTTTTCTCATTTATAAAATGAATATAACCTCTGAGCTTCTTCCTATCCTAAACTTCTATGATTCTGTTCTTTAAAAAAAAAAAAAACATATTTATTTGTTCAGGGATGTTGTGCATGCACATGCCAATGCATGCATGAGGGGATCAAAGGATAACTTTTCAGGAGTCACTTCTGTCCTTCCTCCTTGTGTTTTGAGGCAAGGTCTCTTGTTATTTCTGTTGCTGTGCTATATAGTCAAGCTTCCAGGTGATTTCCCCTGTCTCTGCCTCCCATCTGGCCCAAGAGTGCTGAGGCTAGGATTGCAGACAAGAGCCAGACACCCCATCTGGCATTTCTGCATGGATTCTAGGGATCAAATTCATGTCATCAAGCTTGCATGGCAAGCACTTTTACAATTTAGCCATCTCGCCGATCCTGATTTAGTTCTTAATAACTTGTCTAAACACAACTTAGGTGACATCTTTGCTATGAAAATGTACTTGACTATTAATTTGAAGTATGCAAACAATTAGCAATTTAATTTGATAGTGCAATCAAGGTTTCAAAGTAGATTTACTTAAATTGAATCAACTGTATGGGTAAGACCTTTCTACTGTCTGTAAGCCAGACTATTCAGCTTATATATATTTTTAAACTCATTTTTTGGATTTGCATTTGAAATCTGATTTCTATTTTGCCTTGGTACCAATTCCTTAAGAAGCAGTAATCTCCCAGGCTGGCTGATATTTAAACATGCTAGAAATGCCTTCACTGAAACTTATTCATTCTATTTGCTGTCTTGGTGGGTCCTGGGAAGCAGCCCAGGCAGGCAGCTGCATAATTAAATGTTGCATCGTGTTTTACAAAGAGGTTGTTTCCACTTAACCATCTCTTTAGTGATGATGATTTCTTCAGCATATCATAACTGTAAAATTAAATCCCAGGGTTGTGGAAATAAGTGTCTTGTCTATGTGGGAAGTCATACAATTAAATCACTTGTGATTAAGAATGTTCTGAGTGGTCTTATCATCTAAACCACCCTCTTCCTCACAAATGAGAAACAGTTTAGACCAACTTATCTCATTTAAATTCATAGTGTCATGACTCTTCTTCGTACCTAGACTTCCTAAATCCTTGATCAGCATCATAGACTTTACTTTTTGTAAAACTGATTTTTTTGCCAGTTTAATTATCTTGATGATAACTACAGTTGAGCTTAACGATGTAACCTTGTGTGGGTGTACTGGCACGGTATTCATTTAGCTCATCCTAAAGGTCTTCTTTGCTCTTTAATACTGATCATCTATTTAAAACCTTTATGTAAAATTGTTCAACATTCAGTCAGCAGCTTTTATTGAAGCTGCTATTGTTCTTACTTCTGAAATGAGTAAGACATATTATTTGCTTTGAACAGTTCATTTGGTTTGTGATGGGTGGACGCTTTAAAAAGCAAGTACAATTTTATATGACAAGTATTATAATAGGGAATATATGTAGGCATAAAACAAGGGAGCAATTAGTTTCACCAGTGATATAAGAGATCAATGAAGAGAAAAATGACACTTGAGCTAGCCCTGTGAGGGGAAGGAGAGGCAGGGCAGGATATTTTAGGGATGCTAATGACCCAAAGTTATTGAAGCAAACACAGGTATTATGTATTCAGGGAGTGGTATAGTTAGAGTTTATGGAATTTGGATATAAAGTGAGCTGGTGATATAATTGTTGAAGATACAGTTCAATGCAAATGGAGTTTGTTGTGTTTTTTTTACCACTGTAACTAAATACTAAAGGCAATAAATTATCAAAAGAAAACATTCATTGTGTGTGTCTTTGTCACTGTGTGTGTGGAGTATTGTCTGTGTGTAGTATGTACACATATATGTACAGATATGTATACCTGTGTTTGCACATGGCAGAGTGGGGTTTACATCAGATGTTTTATCTAAATTGCTGTCTGCCTTTGTTTCCTGAGACAGATTTTTTTCATCATACCTGGATGGCCAATGGGCTTCAAGGATCCACCTGTCTTTGCCCTCCTCCAAAGCTGGGGTTTCATTATTTTTTACCTGTGTTCTGGTGATCTAAACTCAGGTAGGTCCTCATGTTTTAAAGAGTGAGCTGTCTTGCCAGGTCCCAAAATCTTCATTCTGAGTTATACTTGTGGAGGTTTTTGGTCATGTGGCAGGCAGCGAATCATGATGATAACACACAATGTTAAAAAGGTAATAGTAAAAAAAAATGACAGATGAGAATGACAAAGTGTTTTAAAATCTTCGGGGTAGAAAGGATAATGGGTTCCTTAGGTAAATTAAGCTGAATTTCTAGGAATCACTAAGAACTCCCCTGAAATTAGTGGTCATACATTTCAAGGGAATCAGTTAAATAATACTGTGCTTAACTACTATTATAAGTATAGAGTCATATTTATCAGGATCAGGATTTTCTCACCCAAATACAACAGAGGTAATTCCTGTTGAGTCTATTCAAGCTTTTCAAACTCTTTTTTTTTTTTGTACTGAGGTAGTCTTCCATTTACCTCAAAGCTCCCATATCAACTCCAGGGACTTGCCGAGTATCCCATGGGCTAAATAAGAAGGCCTGTTTTCATTAAAAAGCTTTATTATAACACTAATAAAGTACAGATAGGATGTACTCAGAAGCATATTACCTGTTACACTGTTTGTGTGTGTGTTTATGGTTTTGTAGTTGCATATGTGTGTGCATGTGGATGTACGCATGTGCATACATTATTGAGGGGACTAGAGGTTAACCTCAGCTGTCATTCCTCAGGTGCTGTCCATCTTGTTTTTTGAAACTATGATCTATTAATGGCCTGGAACTTACCAAGTGGTTTAGGCTAGCTGACCAGTAAGTTCCAGCAATCTGGAGATTCTGACTCTACAGAGCTGGGGTGGCAATATGAAGCAGCTTTTTAAATATGGGTTCTTAGGATAAACACACAAGTCCTCATGCTTGCACATAAAGCACTTTGTCAGTTATGCTACTTTCTCACTCCCTATCTATGGCACTTGTTATGCTGCAATAGCAGAGCAAAGTAGTTGTAACAGAGATTATATAGTCTAGAAAGCCTGAGTATTTATTATATTTTCCTCAACAATGATTCTTTGTGGATTAGGCTAATCTACTTTATCCTTCCTGTGAATATTTCCCCAAACTATGGCTTCAAAGTGTATATCCATCTGGGCCCAATGAAAGAAAAGCACTTTACGATCAGAAATCTGAAAACATTTTACCTCTGCTAGATCCCTCAGTACTTAAAAGTCATGTACACAGCATATTTTTGTTTAACTAATCTGTGTTAAATGTAATATTTTTTGTATTTGTTCTACAAATATTCAGGCTACTGTTATAAGGACAGGAAATATAAGCATATAATTCTGTTCTTGTTTATACCACTATTTTATCATATCATATATTTCTATCATATTTTCTCAGTGAAAAATAACAACTTCATCTAATGCATACTACCTTTCTTTCTTTAAATAATACTCAATGTGAAACTTTGTATTTAATAAAATTACATGTGAGTGTATATTTGGAAAGCAAATTCCAAACTCTAAAAATCTGCTGAAATTTTTGTAGTACATAACAGTTTGTATGGTTAGTCTATAAACAGCTCCTATTTCTAGCTCTAGTCATTACTGACATTGACCTTGAATTTGCCCTTCATTCAACAGGCATCTGATCAATTAACCTCTCAGGTGTGAACTTTGGAAAATGGTGTGACATTCACCACCCTATCAAGGCTTAGAAAAGTGAGCTGAGTATAAATTCTCAAGCTCTGTAGTTACAATTTGGATGAAATAACTTTGTTTCCACATTTAGGAGGAACTATTGAATGGACAGGAAAAAAGGAATATGACCTGGGGAAATGGAGAATGGCTTGCTATAATGAGAATATATATGAAAGTAAAGCAAAGATGCCAAAAAAATGGGAGGAGAAGACTCTTTTACAGGCCAAGTAATGATAATTTGGAGGTGACTAACAAATTTTCTATGAGCAGGATGAACTATTAGAGTGTCAGGTGAAATTAGTGTTCTGGATTCTTGAGAAAAGAAGGGACTTTAACACAAAAAGGAAAAGTAGATACTACAATGTAGGGATCACTAGCCAGAGCTTGGCCTTTCTGTGGCACATGTGACTTTTTGTGTGTAATGTGTAGAAATGATAGATATTGCGTAGTTTTCTGGGCCTTGCATTAATACATCCAGTTTGCTTGCTGCTATTCAGAAAAGGAAAGCTCAGCTGCTACAAGAGATATATAATTGCACTCATTCCAGAAGGGGGTTTCATATACTGAAACCCCAGTACTGCCATACTTAGGGAATACCACCTTTATAAAGATAGCTAATGTTAAGTGTAGCAGGAATCTTAAAAATTCTTATTAATAAAATCAAACCTGAGCCAGGTATTGGGGTGAAGCTGGAAGATCAGACATACAGAACAAGCCGCAGCTACCTCACCTTGCCAGATCCTCAGCTGTTCTTGTTTCCTCAGACTGGAAGCTTCTGTGTCCTCATCCCAATGGCTCTCAGCTGAACTGCTGCTCGAAAGCCTAAATGCTTAACCAGCTAAAAGCTTAACCAGACAAATGCTGCTAGTTTCTGGTCCTTACACCTTATATACCTTTCTGTTTTCTACCACCACTCCCTTGGATTAAAGGCTTTCTTTCTGGGATTAAAGACGTGATGAGTCACCATGTCTGTCTGTATCATTGAATACATGGATTTCTGCCTCTGGAATGCTAGGATTAAAGGTGTGTGCTACTACTGCCTATCCTTTATGTTTAATATTGTGGCTGTTCTGTCTCTGACCCCAGATAAGTTTATAAGCATGCACAATATTTGGGGGAATACAATACCACAGTTAAGAGCCACCATAAGATCTAGGAAATGCACATATAGAAATGACGTGTTTATAAGAGGGGGAAAGAACACACCATACCCTCTTTCTCAATCCATGCAAGGACACAGAAAAAAGGCAGTACTGTAAAAAACAGGAAAAGTGGTCTCACTACATCAGGAAATAATTCTTCTAGTGTCACAATCTGTGACTTTTGCTATCATAAACTTTGAGAAAATAAATTTCTGATGTTAAGCCACTTATTTGTAGTATTTCACTATAGCAAACTAAGTAGGAGATAGTAGATAATTGGTGTAATATGGTAAAGATGTTTGTCCATTATTTTTATTAAAACATTTTTTTTAATTTTTATAGTATATGAGTGATTTGCCTGCCTGCATATCTGTCTACCACTTGTGTGCCTTGTACCCATGGAAGCCAAAAGAGAGTTATAGATGGTTGTAAACAGTCATGTGGGTGTTGTAAATTGAACATGGCTTCTCTGCAAGAACATTCAGTGCTCTTCACCTCTGAGCTATCTCACCAACTCCATGCATTTGTCAATTCTTAAAGTCATATTGAAATTAATCCCTAAAGTTACATATTAGTGGAATCTTGAGATGGGACCTTTGGGAGGATATTAAGATTAGAGAGGTCATAAAGGTGAAGCTCTCATGATGGCAATTAGTGGCTTTATAAGAAGGGGAGATGACAATCACCCTAAAAAGTGTGCTTTTCATCCACCATGTTATATTGTAGCTAGGGCAGGAGTATTTAAAGCAGATGCTGACCAGATGCTTGTACCACCTTCTTTAACCTCTCAGCCTCAAGAAGCATAAGCCAATGTGAGCCAAATCAGCTTCTATTCTGCACAAATTATCCAAATTCTGGTGTTTTCTTAGAGTAACAGGAAAATGGAGTAACACATAATGTCTTCTAAATGAGGGTTAATGACAACTAAAGTGAGACACAGAAGAATGAAACTATAGTTTTCTGTTTGGACTAATTATGCATGCTTACGTTGATCTTCCTGCATCTAGGACATCCTACAATTTGTTTATTCCAGGGTATCTTTCTGAACCATGTCACATTTACAGACTGTTGTGAGCTACCAATACAGAACAGTAGTTATAAGATGAACACTAGTAGTTTGGATATGTGATTTCTCTCAGATCCTGTGTGACTTGATTCTTGTGTTGAAAACATTTGAAGGTAATGATAACTCATAGGAGTTGAGGCATAGGGCAAGATATGGGGTTGCTAGTGACAAGCTCTAAAAGGAGATTGTGGGAACCAAGACCTCTACTCCAATTCAATTCTCTTCACTGTTTGGGGTTGATGCTGGTGTCCAAACAGACAGCCTTATTTAGGTTGGACAGAATATGTATGTATTCAATCAGCAATGAGCCAAAATGATGATTTGAGCCTTATTCTCCCCTTTCAAAATTTATTTTCTTGTCTCATAGAACCAAGTTTCAATGTGAGAATATATTAAAGCCAACAACCTTTATTTTCTTCATATATCAGCATTTAAAGATTTGTTATATCAAAAGATTTTTTTAATTAATGTTCCATTTAGTTAAATGAAAGCACTGAGTCATCATGTAGCTAATGGTTGTTGGTGCCTGACTCTGATTTCTGCAAACCTCCTACCATATCACATGAACTGAATTTTTCTCTTATGATACTGAAACAGCAGTTCCAATATCAAAGAGCACCACCAACCAAAAGATAACAAGGTGGGTAGGACAAGGACTGATAGCTATTCTTAAGCTATGAGAATAGCAAGAGATTCTACACCTTCCTATAGAGCTTTGTCACCCTAATGATTATGGCTTGGAAATGTATTTATTACATTTTATCCTTGAACTTTGGTTCTATGATACAATACATAAATTTTGAAAGGGCAGAATAAGGCTCAAATAATTACTTTGGCTCATTGTTGTTTGAATAGATACATACTCAACTGCCTGATCTTCATCGAACAGTCATACATCATGTATATATAATGCTTTGCAGTTGATGGAATCCATATACACTATTGACTGTGATCTTTTAAAAGTCTTGTGAAAAGACAAGGACAAATATTTTTCTATGTCTTATCTGTAGGAGAAATGAGGTTTGTCAAGATTACATGCTTCATTCAGTGTCTCAATGCATGAAAATGAAAAATTCTTAATAGATTTGAAATTGTTCAAGAGTACTAGGGCCCT